AGAGGCGAGGAGCGTGCCGACGGGCCTGGAGAGACGAGGCGCGCGCCGACGGGCCCGGAGAGACGAGGCGCGCGCTGGATGAACATAAGAACAAACGGCCACAATGGCTCAGCCCAAAGGTCCAGCCAGCTCAATGTCCTGTCTGCCAACAGCAGCCAATGCCAGGTGCCCCAGAGGGAACACAAACAGGGAATCCTCACATGATCCCTGCCTTGTTGCCCATTCCCATCCAGAGGCTGGGGGCACCATTCCTACCCATTCTGGCTAATAGCCCTTGACAGACCGAACCTCCATGAATCTGTCTCTTTTTGAGCCCTGTTCAAGTCCTGTCTTCACCTCATCCTCCGGCGAGGAGTTCCACTGGTTGACTGTGCATTGAGTGAAGAAAAACTTCCTTTGGTTTATTTTAAACCTGGGAAGAGCAGGCCAGAGGGTTGTGTCACCCCACAGCTGCCATGCCTGGGGAGGGGAGACCAAAGCTAGTAACCGGCCCATTGTCAACCCTGCAACACAGACAGCCCCAGGGAGGCCCTGAATGGGGCCAGCTTCCCTCCTGGGCAGCTGTGGCCCGCGCCGCCTGAGCAGGGTAAGGCTGCTCGTCCTGGGAAGGCAGGGGAGCTGCGTGGGAAACCCAGCACTGCCTCTGTCTTTTGTGGGCCCCAAGGGGGAGGCACCAGCTTTTCAACGCCCCCGCAGCAGGCTGGATGGCTCCCCCTGTGAACGAGAACAGCAGCAGCCGAAGGACCGAGGGACGGGCCAGGGAGGAGAGAGGTTTCCGCTGGGCTTGAGATGAGCAGGAAAAGCTGCAGAGGGTGGCTCTGAGCCGACAGAACTTCTCTCAGGGGCGATCCGAGGCCTCGATCTGCTGCCTTTGCAGCCCTCGCCGAGTGAGCGGGGTGAGAGAGCCACGTGATGTCCCAGACGGGGGACCCCCCTCCCCAGTGCCTCCCAGCTCCATGGGAGTCGTGCCCGCAGTGTCCCGAGCAGCCTGCAGAGCGTCCGTCCCGGAGCTGGGCCCCAGCCCCGGCCCCAGGGCCTCCCAAAGCTGCAGCGCTTCTGCTAAACCAGGGGTCTATATACCCCTCGGGGATCTATAAACCCTCCGGAGCCGCTGCAGCCCTGCCTGGGCCGAGGATCATCATCACCGTGTCACGGGGGGAGAGGGGAA